ATGTGGGATCCGAACTGGGGCCCTCTGGCGTCCCAAGCCAGTTCTTAATCATCGCGCCACTCGGCCGGCCCAGACCTTCTTTAACCATACAAAAAATCACTTCTGGATTTCAAAAGATACTATAAAGTCTGTGGATAAACAGTAGATTGAGGGAAAATTTGACTATACTATCAAAAAGCACTTTAACATTGATAAGGAAAAAAATAACACAGTAGAAAAATGAGCAAAAGCTAAAAAATTGAAAATTCACAGAACAGCAAATCCAGAGGATCACTAATGATACAGAAAGATTCCTGTATACCTTTTCTTCAGAGTCCACAGCTTAAGTGTCATTTCTTCAGAAAGGCCTTTCCTGTCCACTCATTTCAGAATAGTTCCCTTCTGTTCTCTCTCATAACACCTGTGCTCTCTTTCATAGCACTCATTCACAGTTTGTAATTATATACTCAGGTATTTATTTAATGCTTGCCTCTAGGACAGGCCCGAGGAAAAGGGGCGTGCCTTTTTAAATTCATCTCTGTAGTCCCAGTTCTAATCATAGAACCTAGCACATTGTAGGGGTTCATTTAATATTTCTTGAAACAAAAAGCGATGCTGAAAATAGTCATCAGAGAAATGCAAATTAAAATAGCAGTGAGTTAATACTACACTTACCAAAAATGTAAAAGAATCAGTTATATCTGTCACTAGCTGGACTATAGGGAAAAGTGTCTTCTTACATACTGCTGGTGGGAATATTAATTGCTTCAGGCTTTTTGGAAGACAACCTGGTAATATCTGGTAAAATGAAAATAGGTGTACCCTTTAATCTAACAGTGCCACCCCTGGGAATCTATATTATAGGAATAAAAACAATATTGTAAGGATACACACACGCACGCACACATGCACACATGCAGGTGTATGTTTTATAACCTTGTTTATTGTTGCAAATAAAATGGAAACAGTGAATGGCCATTACCCATTAACAGGATAGCTGAATAACATATGGTATTTCCACGTGAAATACTACCCAACCAATAAAGAGAAAGGTTTGAGCTATACAGTCACTCGAAAAGATTCCCATGAAGTATTAAGTGAGAAAGGTAAGATGCAGAAAAGTCTGTATTATATGATCCTATGTTTATAAAATAAACCAGGTTCCAAAAAAGTTGTAAGTGTATATGTATCTCCATATATGTGTATGAATATATATTTTGATAAAACCATACATACTAGGTTGTTAATATGTCTTATTGGTAGAGAATGGAGACAAGAAAATAAAAAGGTACCGAGTAAAGTTATATGTAGGATGCGTGTGCATGTGCGATATACATGTATGCATATATATGACAGGAATAAGCACTGCACAAGAAAAAATAGAAGTTACCAGCAAACATGTGAAAGATGTTCAACCTCTCTAGTAACCAAATATAGTAAATTAATAATGAAGTAATTCTCACCATTTAGACTGAAAATATTTGGCACCAAGGATATTCATCTGAACAAGGCTTATCGTAGTGAATGAAACTGAAACAACCTAAATGTCCAACTGTTGAGAATTGGTTGAAAAATTAGAGGAATCCATTAAAAATGAATGCTTTATTTGGTGTATATTGCCATAGGCAAATCACTTTATAATATGAAAACAGTTACAGAACCGTTTGTCAGTGTAAATCTATTTTTTTGTATAAATGTGTCTGCATACACACATATGCAAATATGTTGAGTAGAGAAATATCGGGAAAGATGTATTTCATGAGGCTTTCCTGATTACTCTATATTTCTTTATTCAGTAACTTTATTGAGTACCTGCCATGTGCCAGACATAAGTGCAAAATATAGAGAACAAAAGAGAGAGGTAAGACTTTCATTGTAGCTTTTTTTCCCTTTGGAAAAAACATATCAGTTTTACAATGTACGTTCAGCAATAGAAAACAAGTAAAACTAAAGTGAAAAAGGAAAGTAGCTAAAGGGTATGTTTAGTATGATCCTGTTTGTGTAGGCTATAAATAGGCTCTGTATAGCTTTTTATTCACGGAAAATTTCTGGCATGACACACAAGAAAGCTATTAATAGTGTTTTGTGCTTCAAATGATGGAACTAGAAAAACCAGGAACAGTGGCGAAATGGCTTTTCATTTTTCACTTTATATTTATTTGTAGAGAATTTTTTAGCATGAGCATGCTTTATTTGCTTTTTAAATTCTTGCAAACTTAACCATTCAATTAAATACTTTTGAAGTAAAAAAGGGTAATGTAACAGATATAAGCTGTATTATAAAATTTATATTAGATTCCACTTATTAACAGTACTTAGTTTTATTTCTGATTTAATATCTGCACTCTCTTCTATACCTGAATCATAGTTCAATTTAAAGCTGACCAGATTGTGAATATATTTTAAATTGTCAAATGTTGCAATTTAACATGTTTTTATTTTTTCAGACAACTTTTGAGAGAGGACTAGAACTACATGCCAAAGTTACAATTTTTGCAGAAGGTTGCCATGGACATTTAGCCAAGCAGCTATATAAGAAGTTTGATTTGAGGGCCAATTGTGAACCCCAAACCTACGGAATTGGACTGAAGGAGGTATTCTGGGGTTTTTTGTAATTTTAATTTCAAAAGATGGAGTGTCAGTTCACTTCTATTATCATATAATTATAATGTTGATTTAATTTTAGTTATATTTTTTATTAACTTGAAATGTTCATTATGACTGAAAATATTCAGGATATTTTTCAAGGGGAGAAGATATTACTAATCAAATTCCATTATTATCCAAATTGTATCTGCATGTTGTAATTGTTTTATCAAGTGTTGCTTGAAATAAGCTTTGAGCTTGGAAATGTTTGTAACGTTGATTTCTTTTTCATTATAATGTCGTCTGCCCTAATAGGATTTGACCTGCTATTTATATACTGTTTGCAGGATGACCACATTCTACAAGAATTTTTTATTTGAAATTGTAATATGAAGATAATTTAGTTTATGAAACATACACTCAGTCATAGTATGTTGATGTGTAACCTAAAATTTAGTTTGGTTAAGTCAGTTTATCCAATCTCTAGTCTATTTTTCCAAACCTTAGGCTTGTTAGAGTGTAAAAATTTCATTATAATCCTTTTGTTTAAATTTATTTTTAGGGTAACGCTCAGAAAGTTTCAAATTCTATAAATAACTAGATTTATTAAATTGTGAATAAGAAATTAATTATTTTGGTAGATTACACATAATATTATCAGACCTTAGGTAATATTTCAGCTGAAAATTGTTTAAAATTTAAAATTTACCATTCTGAAAACAGTATGAACAATTTACTTCAGTTGAAGAGGGGGGAGAGCAGGTGAGAGTAAAATATTATATTGAAGAATAACATGTGTACTTTATTATTATTTTTTTCTTCTTAGCTGAGCCATCCTGCCACCTGTTGGCAGCTCAGCAGCAGCTCAGCTTGGGCCGGGAATCAAACCGGCGACCCTGTTGCTCAGCGCTCACACTCTTGAGCAAGCTCTTAACCATCTGAGCCACTCGGCCGGCCCTTAACATGTGTACTTTAAAGTAACAGATCTTAAGTGTACAGTTCAACTAATTTTTTATAAGGCGAAAACACTCGTGTAACCACTACCCAGATCAAGACATAGAGCATTACCAGCACCCCAGAAGTCTCCCTCATTGCTTCAGTGGTGTTTCCTATAATCTCAGGAAAGTCTTACCAGTTTGAGAATCTAATTAATGTCTTAAAGAGTTCATAACTTTTCTGACCTTTTTCCTTACTTGGTATAATTTTCTTTGATATTTGAAGTACATTTTTTGTGTTCCTCTTGTTACAGTTTTTGATTTGTAATTTTCATGAATAAGACGTAAACTTGGCAAGTTTTATATATTGTGGTGACATAAAAAATTTAAATAATACTTTAGACCTATTTTTTTTTAAGCTATGGATTATTGATGAAAAGAAGTGGAAGCCTGGGAGAGTAGATCATACTGTTGGCTGGCCCTTGGACAGACACACTTACGGAGGCTCTTTCCTCTATCACTTAAATGAAGGTGAACCGCTGGTAGCTCTTGGTTTTGTGGTAAGTTAGATGCCCATTATCGAAAGTTCTACTGTTAGAGTCACTGAATCACCAGTGTTACAAAATGATTGTTTTGAATCCAGAGAATGTAAAATGCTTTTCTGAAACTTACTTTCTAATTTTATCAATATGCAAAGTACTTATGGCTATTATATACATTAGTCTACTAAAACACACATAGCTTTAGTAATAGTAGCTACTACCTGCCAGGCACTGTGCTAGGTGCTTCACTGAGAATTCTAAGTTTCACTAAAATCCTGTGAAGTAGGTATACCCTTATTTTACTGATGCGAAAACTGAAGTCCAGATAAGTTCAACTTTCCCAAATACACCCATTAAATGACAGGTGAGATTCACACCCGAGCTTGTCTGATTTCAAAGCCCATTTCCATTATGGCATGCTGCCACTGAAAATGAAATCAGCACTGGGTTTGAACCTGTAACTTTTTAAAAACATGGGCATTTTCTCCCTTTTGGGTCGCTTACATCTTTGTAGCCAATTACATCATGAACATTATAAGAAATAGAAGAATGATAAAAGAGTTTCTGCACCTTGGAATTGGTGGCAGCTATATAATTCGATGTCACCATTAAACCTGTGAACCATTGTTAAATTTATGCCTTATTGGTGTGTTTTGACACCTAGCCAAGTGTTCAGTGCATCACCTTTGCATAGGTGTTCTAGTGACTTAATCTTTTCAAAGCAAAAGACTTCATTATTAATTTCAGCATTTTGGTAATGCCTTATAAAATGTAACCTCCAATATTTGTCATCATCTTTTTTTCTAAATGTGATTACATCCTGTTTCTTCATTTTTGCCTCAGTAGTACTGCATATAGCTTATTTATTTCTAGAGTTGGTATTGATGAATGAATAATAAATAATTAAAACTCCTTTTGTAGAAACATAATGTGAGGCACCTACAAATACTTTTCTAATTTGGACTTTAATTTTCAAAGCACAGTAATTTATTAATATGTTCCACATTTTTAAAGTTTTGCTGATTATAAACACATGGTATCTTTTTGTTTACTCCTTTTCCAAACAGGTTTTAGTTATTTATTTAAATTTGGGTTACGGTATATATTTTTCCATGTACTTAGAGTACCAGAAACTTAATGTACATATTTTCTAAAAAATGTTGCTCACATTTTAGCTTGATATAATTTGACATAAAAATGTCTAATTGTATAAATATAACAAATTTAAATATGAAAATTTTAAGGTTGGTCTAGACTATCAAAATCCATACCTGAGCCCGTTTAGAGAGTTCCAGAGGTGGAAACACCATCCCAGCATTCAGCCAACACTGGAAGGTGGAAAAAGGATCGCATATGGAGCCAGAGCTCTCAATGAAGGTGGCTTACAGGTAACTCGCCCAACTTTCGTATTCCTTATTTTTGTACTCTAAATTCAACATTGAAAATATAACGTAACAAATTTAAATAAAGAATAGAAAATTATCTCATAGGAGAAAAATTAACTAATTAAACAAAGCACCTAGTGTTTATAAAACTGTCACACCATAGTTAAATAAATCACACCATGAATTTAGTTTTAAGAATATATTGATTTCTAGACTTAAATTCACAGGCTCTTTTTTTTTTCGTTTGTTTTTAACCAGAATATTAAAACTATGTGCTGTAAGATATTTCCTTTTATTCCTGAGCTGGCAGGAAACTCAAAGGCAAACTTAGTTTTCAACAAACGTAATTAATTCATCCAACTACCTAGCGGCACTCATGCCTTTTAGGTGGCCTCTGTTAAGCTTTTACCCTTAACTGTCCAATTTTAGTATATGTTCAAAATAAACCTTATCAGTTACAATTAATGTATTAAATATGTACTAATGAACAATGAACTAAGACCTAGATAACTAACTTCTCATATAATAAATGCTGTTAGTACTGTTGTGGAAATAGTATTAAACAGGTAAGATGATCTAAAAAATCAGATCTAAAACTCTTACCAAATGATTTGAAGCAAGTTTCTTAACTTCTCTGGCCTTAAGGGATCATCTGTAAAATAAAGACGATCTCTTCTGTCTCTATAATATTTGAGGAATCTAGAACTATTTTAGAAATTGGGTATCATTTTTTTTTCTTAATTTGTTTTAAAGGTAACAAAATAGAAAATTGGGGTGGTGGGAAGTTGATTTAACCTTTAAAGTGAGGTTTTACTTTATTAGTGTAACAGTAATTCATAAAGTCAAGTAAAATCATAGCTAAACTATAAATGTAATCACTAGAATCTTAAGTTCATTAGCTCTCACGAAGTTGTTTTTGTTTCTAGAGTAGTAATTCGTTTGCAACAAATATTTATTAAATTGCATAACTGTTCAAGTCCATTAAACTCTTTGAAATAATGTGCATAATACCCACTGTCAGTCTAATTCTTCTTTTTTTAATTCATAGTGTAAAGGTTTTGGTGTATTCAATAGTACATACAGGTTCTCACTGAAAAACATTTGCTTGTATGCTTCAATATCTCAGATAATTTTTAGATTAGCAGGAAGAGGTGACCACACACACACACACTTTTTACTTAAATGTTCTGATTTAACTTGTCAACTTATTCAGAAACTTATTTCCATTAAGTTTTGAAGACCATTAAGCAGTAATTGGGAACATTCAATTTTGTTTGTTTTGAGCTAACAAATATTACATGATTTTCCTTTTCTCTCTCTCCCACTCTCCCTCGCGCTCTCTCTCCCTCTTTCCTTCTTTCTTCATTCCAAAAATTCACCTTTCCTGATGGGTTTCTAATTATTTATAGGGATAGTTTGATGCATGTCCCAGAATACACCATTTTTCAGTGCAACTTTTCCTTGATCCCTAGTTCCTTAACAAAATGCCCAATGCCAGGAACACTGCCCACACAGGGTAGGATTCTCCCAGAGCTTATGAACACACCTTTTCTTTGGGCCGTAGATTTTTATTGTTAGGACTTAAGCACCAATTTGGAAGAACTTTTACTGACAGTCCACATCCTGTCTTCTGGTTCTTGAATCAAACTTAGTGTTAGCAGGGCCACAGGGTTATTTGAGAAAAGTGTTGTCTTTATCCAAGTGCCTAACCATTATCTCTGTTCTCAGCTAGTATCATTCCAGAAAGTCCTTTCCCTCACAGGGCTACTCTACGAATCTGATACGATGCTTTTTTATCTAGGTGGTTCTGGCCTTGAGTTTGGTCTGAGAACCACAGTCGTAAATTCATTCCCCATGTGAACTGTGAAAGGATGGGACCCTGATCCCTCTCTCAGCTGCATTCCTTCTGCCTCCACCCGCCCCCCCCGATTTGTTCCTCACCACCTCTCTCTCCTTCACAGTCAGAATTCTCTAATTGAAGGTAGCTGTGACCATAGATTCTTCACCTGTCTCCTGCAGGCAGTGGCGGTAGTTTTCCTGTTAACCTCCTCTCCTCTGAGTCCCTTTCAGCACCATCAGCCAGACTTTTACCACCCACCACTTTCTCAGCAAAGACTGTGTCTTACTGTAGGAAGTGCTTTGAGAATTAAAAATACAGAAGGAGGAAAGAACAACTCTGCATTGGCTTTCTCTTTCCTTTTCAAACTATAGAGTACATTTTCCCATGTAAACAATCTATAATTTAGTGCTACATTTTATAGGCTTTTATTGGCCAAACCAAAAAATATCACCAGCCTTTATTACTTTTTTTTCATCAGAAGTGTATATTGACGCCCAAACAACTTTTAAAATTTATTTTGGAGATTCAACTTATTCTTAAGTTAATTACTATGTCATTTAGAATAGTAGGTAATTGTGGTGATGCCATGATTAGAACTTAGGTTTCCATCCGTAGATACCAAAGTAAAATAAAAAGCGCATCTAAAGAGAACATCCTTTGTAAATCATGTGTTACCCAGAATGCATGTAAAAGCCAATCACAGTTTAGAGAATAGCTACCACGTTTACAAAATATCTTTATGACATGACAAGTATAAATAGAAACATTTAAATATGTTAATCCTCTGGTCTTAATCTGTCTCATGTAGGTTAGTCATGGGGAGGAGAAGGAAAAAGTCTTAATAGAAAAATAGCAATAGTTCTAATCCTTATTCTTAGGGGAAGGGGAGAAAAACTGCCTTTGCTGTAACTTTTTTCCTTCAGTATATCATTTTCTTGTATTCAGAATTTTTTCTTTCCCCTAGAGCTTTAGACTTTAAGAGGCTATAATTTTAAGTGGTCAGTTTTGCTTGTTTAATTTTTGCTAACAAATGCACTTCCAATGTTTCTTTCCTCAGTCTATACCAAAACTCACCTTTCCTGGTGGTTTGCTAATCGGTTGTAGCCCTGGTTTCATGAATGTTCCCAAGATCAAAGGTACCCACACAGCAATGAAAAGTGGAGCTTTGGCAGCAGAATCTATTTTTAATCAACTAACTAGTGAAAATCTCCAATCAAAGACAATAGGTAAGAACTTCCTATTTACATATAGAAAATTAAAACTTCACTTAAGTTTTAAAAAGTTATTTAAAAATATAGTCAGTATATAGATAGAAGATAAAAATAAATACAATGAAAAATTTTGAGGTGTTTTATATGTATATTTCAATTAAAAAACGTATCTGTCCCTTCCCACAAAGCATTCAGATGTATGCTGTGCAAAGCAAACTACATGGCCTACTCTCTAATTAGATTTTTACAGCAGTATTCTGTTTTATTCACATCAAAAGTAAGATAGTACCAGTAGTGTCCCACCTACTTGGAAGAGATTTCAAGTTGGACAGTACTGCATTACGTTCCATGCGTGTAACATCTACATGCCAAGGTACCTCACAAATACCGAAGAGTCTTCAATCTGGAAACAACAGTTTTGCAAACTGCAGGATCAAGCAGCACCGTTGCCTTGTGGGCTTGGCAAGCACAGGCGTATATGCGACCCTTCTGCCGCGCTGGAGAGGACCAGCCAGCACTTAGTCCTCAGTAAACCTTTAGTCCTCAAGACCCGCTAGTGAATCTCATCTTATCTCAGAGTAAAAGCCAAAGTTCCCTCACCCCTCTGACTTCATCCTTTTTGCTCTCCACTCCAGCTACACAGGCTTCACCACTGCGTCTTGACCATGCCCGGCACACTCCCTTCTCCTGGTCCTTGCTCTCCCTTGCTCTCTTCACCTGTGCTCAAGCGTCACTCTCTCACGGTGGCCTAACCACAGCCGTCCCAATATATTTGTGGCACACACCACTCCCAACAGCCCCTTCCCCCTCCACCCGGCACTTTCTGTCTGTAGTGTTTTTCACCTTTCAGCACATATAATTTACTTGTCAGCTTCATCTCCTGCCTCTTGGATGGAAAACTCCAGAACAAGGACTGTTCACTGTGAATCCCAAACACCTGGCACATTGCAGCAACTGGGTAGATAGTTGGTAAACAAGCCTTATTCCTTAGAATTGCAGATACCAAGTGTTTCTCCAGTTGGAAGTATGCAACCTGATTATGCCTTCAAATGTCTTCATAGGAGTGGAGGCCTAGGCTGTGGGAGAGGAAGGGGATGAGGCAGAACATACAAAAGAGGGTGCTTCGGGGAGAACAGCACAGGCAAGATGGAGTATAGTTGTTGAATAGTGGGACTTTTTTCTGATTTTCTCACCAAGTATCTTTCCATTTTGGACCACCAGTCATGCTTCCGCCTCATCATATACACATAGTACCCACCACACATAGACATTACTGGAACAGGGAGCTCCCCAAAGACTAGAGGAGGGATTAAAGCCTGAAGGAACGGCAAGTGGGGCCAGAGCAGGAGACAAGGACTGGAAAGCGTGGTCACTGTGTGTCCGCGAAG